GGGTTGTTACGATAGATGAGGGATGGTCGTATAGCCACTGTCCCCCCTCCAACTCAAGGTAATGTAACACTTAAACTGTTTTGGGGTTGTTACGATAGATGAGGGATGGTCGTATAGCCACTGTCCCCCCTCCAACTCAAGGTAATGTAACACTTAAACTGTTTTGGGGTTGTTACGATAGATGAGGAATGGTCGTATAGCCACTGTCCCCCCTCCAACTCAAGGTAATGTAACACTTAAACTGTTTTGGGGTTGTTACGATAGATGAGGAATGGTCGTATAGCCACTGCCCCCCCTCCAATCTAACGCAATATTTGGGGTTGTTACGGTAGATAACAGACGGTCATTGACGTCTTGTATACTTGTAGTTGATTGAGCGATTATTACAGTGACTACGAATGAGAACTCGCAGCCATAATATGAAAGCATTACCTAGTGCTGCCACCTGATGGTAGGAAACGCAATATAGACATTCGGCTTGCCACGTAATCTCCAAATCCACAGAACGATAGTTTTATGTGCATCAGCAGGCCCGTAGCCAGCTTTCTATTGGGGGGGGGGTTCGTTCGAACCCCCCGAACCCCCCCTGGCTACGGGCCTGCATCAGGATGACTACAAATTATGATATTAGTACGTAGGTGCTAGGTTAACTGTAGCTGGATTAACTAACTACTGATATTAGTAGCTGTGTGGACTTTAATAACTCCAACGATCTATCGCGGAGTGAAAACCTAGAGCTACGACGCACCCTAGAGACTGATGGGGAAATATTTCGTGGATCGAGCAACAAATGCGTTTGATGACCATATCCATCTCATCCGTTATCTTCTCCAGACTGAGAAACGACATCTTTTTGCCAGGTACTTGAAGTGTCAGCTGAATGTCAGAAAAAAAGATATTCTATTAAGAAGGCGACTTTCTACAAGCACAAGTGGAACATTGATGTTATTTAGTACCAACGACTACTCTACAATATGAATAATACTATCAAAGTATTTTTTAACACTTCTAAGAGAAAGATAGTATGTAGGCATTCCCAATCACACCAATTACATGATAGTATTATGTCACCAATGCTTTCGTTTACAAACAGTTTGAAAGTGAGTTATGGTAACGTTTTTTTCCTCATAGCTAAATTAACTTTCAATTGAACTTGCACATATTTTGCTTTAGTGATGCAAGAAGAGTTAGATCAGAGGGTGTAGTCACTGCCAGACATTCATAATACATTGCACTGCACTGACAACATACCAAAGAAGGAGTCTTGCTTTCCATGCCTTGGACCTCCAGATAATGTACAGAATGTTCTATCTGTCAGTGATCAATAAAATTTACATGAACGCAAATCATTTCATCGATAAATATAATCAGTTTAATAAAAAACTCGTGCTATTTATAATAATCGATCTGTAACTTGATGTTTTGACATTGCATTATGCTTCAACGCTTGCTATCATTTAATTCTTGTTCGGACCAATATTACAGAGTTTGGTTTTACGTTCGTGATCTAAATCATCATGCACGTTAATTATCAGTGGACTTTCTGTAAGTTCCTGTTTACTGTCCATGTACTAAACGCCTCTATCTTCTGTGAGGGCATTGATGTCGCAGTGACTGATAACTCTGTCAGCATAGTACAGCTGACGTTCCACATAAAATAGATCATTCTCACATACATACAATAAAGGGAATTTAAGATCAACGTACAAACCCTTGACATAGATTATTAGCACACAGAAGTAACATAGTAAAGGGTGATATTAGTCAGTAGATGGCACTTACAAGATCATAAATGCAGAAAGTGGATACATATAATAATACAATCCAATATTCTCACATTCCATTCACAAGATTTATAGAAATGCAACGAATATGGGAAGTGTGTAAGAAAAAAGAAAAGAAAAAAATACTGTATTGAGTTGGTTGTCTTACCTTTGTGGGAGCTTTTTGTCCGAGTATATACAGCCTATGTTTAGCAAGAACCTGTGAACCAGATAACGGGTACAAGATCAATCAAACAGATCCATATTTATATAGACATATAACATAAAATAACTATACACACATTACCACGTCTATATATGCATGATTTGTGTAAAACATACTCATACAAATCTGATTACAATTCATCCAAGACACTGTATAAGAGTGAATCTTCTCCCGCGTACCAATATTTTCATTTCGAAACATCCCTTGCCCTTCGCATCGATCCTCATCATCCGTGTAAACGACAGCGGCACATGATGCCCGACCGCATTCTTCACCGAATCTGAAAAGAAAAGAATACACGAAATGTTAGTCAAATATTGTACTTCATCGTTACTACGATAACCTTATGACGATATGTGGATTTAGCACCGATTTGTGTACGACTACTTTTAATCTCAACCCTTAGCATAGTTAGGCCAAAAAAGTACCATGTTTGGTGTCACCCGACCGACTCTGAGAAAATGTGCCGGTCCTAAACATTTTATTACCGAACTTTCCTTGCTTTTTTTGTAAAAAATGTAACAATCGATTTCACCTGAAGGAAATCAAATAAAACTTTTTTTTTGCATTCTTCAGCCTTGTTTTATGTTCATTTGTTCAAATAACATAGAAATATTTCACCTACGTTACTGCAGCCCTCGACACTAATGGTATAGTTCGATTGCCCGGGACAAGAGAAAGTCTATGTTGGACAAGTTATATTCTCTTGGCTAGTTGGCCTCAGCTTTCATGCTATCCAGTCTGAGCTGCTCCAGCTACTGCAGCATCGACTGTGTATGAGACCTATCCAGTACAACCCTAGGCCTTCATGGCCACGATGCGCTACTCCCAGATGGGCATTCACCATACTGATGACTGGTTATACCACTGTCTGCATGATGGGTGAACTAGTGTGAGTCTTGTGGTTAGGTATCTCTAACCGTGTAGCCCTCCGCCCTGCCACAGGGCTATACGGGATATAGTACGAGGAAACCAGGTGGAGTATCTTTGCAGGATAGCCAGGTATGATGTAGCCCGTGGGACAATAAACAAGACCAGAGCCGGCAAAATAAATGTGTTGGCTTTAGCCAGCCACTGTAAACTCAAACTCCAATCACCTGGGTTTGAACAAATCCCAATGTTTATCAAACATAAGCTATCACAAGTAGTGATGTCCCGGATGATCGACTACGAAATAAAGAAACTGTACTCACGCTGTGTGAGTCACAGTGTTTGTTCAGAAGTTTATTGACTCAAATGTTAAACATATTAATATAAGTCACCGAAAAAAGCAGCCCGCCACACCCAGATTTTATAATAGATCACCAGCGTGGCTGTGTACGTGCCGTACTGGCAGAGGCGGCATTGATTGATGTGGGGGTGGGGATGCACAATTGTTTAAGTCACGTGGGGCATGTTCATTACTCTATTATATGTAGGGGGTAGGCACCGCTGGTAAGAGAGAGCGACAGCAAAACTCTTTACTGGAATTGAGGAAAAAGCTGCAATTGGGAATGACACGCAATGAGCGTGCCGGCACGAAAAAATAAACGTGTAAATTTCATGTTCGTGAGACAGTAAATCTAACCTAAACCAAACAGTTAAGCACGTATAATATACTGTTACATAGCTTTTAGAATATTGTATGGTCTTGGTATGCTGCGAAGACTTATGTCTGGCTGTATGCACTCAGAGTCAAACAAGACTATTGTATAGGCCTGTGGCAGAGAGAAGAGCTATATGGATAGAGTTTTGGGGTATGATGACTAATGATCATGATGATGACACAGTCGCTTACAGTAGGGCGGGGGACACAGACGTGCTAAACTGATATCGTGCTATCCTCTACACCAGTGGTTCTTGACCTTTGGTCTATGGCAGAGGGGTCCATGGATGGGCTTCAGGGGGTCCGTGGATGGGCTTCAGGGGGTCGGTGGATGGGTTTCAGGGCGTCCGTGAATGGGCTTCAGGGGGTCCGTGGATGGGCTTCAGGGGGGTCCGTGGATGGGATTCAGGGGGTCCGTGAATGGGCTTCACGGGGGTCCGTGGATGGGATTCAGGGGGTCCGTGGATGGGCTTCAGGGGGGTCCGTGAATGGGATTCAGGGGGTCCGTGGATGGGCTTCAGGGGGTCCGTAGATGGGCTTCACAGGGTCCGTGGATGGGCTTCAGGGGAGTCCGTGAACCCCATTGTATGCAAAATTTTGTGTTTATGTGCTTATATGTACATTTTTCTGGTGAGGGGTCTGTAGCTTTCACCAGATTCTCAAAGGGGTCCATGACTCATAAAAGGTTAAGAACCACTACCTTACATGGAATATTTACAACAAGGTACTGCATCTGCATTAGCTCTGGAATTATAGCCCTCCGCTCTGCAGCAGGCCTGCGGCGGAGCGTAGGGCTATAATTCTAGAGCTACATGTGCATGAAGCTATACCTAGCTGCATAGATTTGGACTTGAGGGCTCATTTACTAGACAACCATAGAGCACCACCACACTAGGTGGACCCATGTACTGGTCACTTTACGTCTTTGGTGGTTCTTTTACTCATTACTGTTGGGTGCCATTTCAAGTTGTCATTTGAACGGTGAGGGATTCACAGTCCACACTGTTGAAAGCCAGTGTTTTACACCTTCAGGTACTCCGGACCACTCTACCCGAAAATGTCTAGTAGGCCGGCCTATACTTCTGAAAGTGAAAGCCGAGTACAGGCTACATTGAGCCTCTGAAGCAGTACGAAGCCGCCATCAGCCTTATTACTATTAGAAATGGCACTTTCTCAGGCTATCTCAGTATCTGTGTCGCTATCACTCTCACCATCCATCAGCAGAGCAGACACTACCTTAGCCCTAGCCGTGCAGAGAGAGCTACACAGTCACAGGGCTACAGGCTACACACCCACACTACAGCCAGGTAAGAGCCTAACAGAGGCAACACCTGAGCCAAAAACTCTGTGTGATGAATTCTTAATCTTAATTCTTAGTTCTTACCACGGATATTCTTAGTGATGTTACACAAGGGTGCCATTTTAATAGTTCTCCTAAAATCCACAACCAAAGTTATTCCTTGCAATCACAACACGAGATATTATGACTACATATTATCAAACGATAGAGTAACAGACACAACCCGATGAAAACAGTTGCGGAAGTTTGCAGCCTGAATCGAACAAGTGGTTTTGATATTAGCTAGTGCTGCCACCATGCAAACAACTTTCCACGTACCACACGTGACCCCGCGAGATTCAATATGTCAGCTTCCAGTATCAGAAGATTGGTCTCCAAGAACCTATTAAAGTTTTATGGGTTATCAGGTTAATATATGTATACCACAATTATTCTTAAATGTAAAACATATTTAAGTTTGCAGTGGGCATGCTGAATACCGTGCAAATACTACAGTGTACAAGTGTGCACTGTATTGTCAACTGTACTGTAGTGACTAGTGTGGAGTGTACACACTACACAGCCGAGCCCCTACGGTTCAAGGATAGAGATGATGTCCAGACCGGTGATAGGATAGGATGATGTGTATTACTGGACATGCTCTTTATCTTTGAGCCCTGTAGTCTGTAAATGTAATGGCAATGCCAAATTGTGAATTTGTGTATCTAAATACAGTGAAACCCCAATTTTATGCGCCCCGATTTAAAGCGAATTCGGATATAACGCGATAAGTCATTGGACCTTTTTTTTGCTCTTTCCGGAACTGAAAGGTTTTTTGGTGAGTTACTGTTAAGCTGGCCTTAGGCTTAGGTCGAAGCGACGATTGCCTATCGCGCAACTAAATGAGTTTACATGACTTGTAGCCAGGCCTCGAATTAAGTGACGAGAGGGGCAAGGCAATTTTTTGGAGGCATGTGAGAAATTGCCTTGAATTTTCTCTAAAATGGATGGGCACCGAGGCAATTTTAAAAGGCATCAAGGCAACTCTCACAATTTGAGAAGGGCACCAAGGCACTTTTGTAAAATAAAGGAAAACTCATAACAAATTAATACATCAAGCTCTGCTAATGGAAGTACAGTAACAGGGTTCAACGTACGTTAACTTTTTATTTCACTAGACCATCGGGCTAGTAACTGAGGAAAACCACCAGCCCTGACCTAACTTTCACTAGCCCAGACCCAGACCATTGTTAATTATGAAAAACTTTGTGTCATCGTATGAATTCTACTAAAATTTCTCTAAATTTACTGCACTTAGCAAGCTACACACCATACAGATCACAACTGGCCATTCTTGCACGAGCGTCGTTTCCCGCGCTTTAAATCGCGCGCGGGCCGAGTCCGGGCGTGCAGCATTTAAATATTCGTGTTCTACCACGTGCATACACAGGCGCACGATTTATCGATCGTCTACTGGCAGCGGTTGGCAGCAAGCCACGTTTACGGCTATTGTTTTTGCCGAAGGGTAGACTGGAATCCGGCCTCACGCTCTGCTAGACAATGCACACGCTCTGCGACAAACAGTGCGGCCGCGAACCAGTCTAGCCAGAGGCACCGACGGCAATTACAAAAAAGGGCAAGGCAGGTGACTGCTGTCGGTCGGGTTGGATTTTCAGGGGCAGTACGGCGATTGATAGGGGCACCGACGGCAATTGCCGTCGGTGCCGTCGGTTAATTCGAGCCCTGCTTGTAGCTGTGAGGGTCAGTTTATACGCTGATTTTCTTGAATCTCGATTTAGTGCGACCCCGCTTTTTTGTGATGACATTCCCCCAACGATCGCGTTATAACGGGGCCGCACTGTACATCATTACATGTAATGACATTGATGTTATATATAATCTACTGAGCATTTTATTAACAGTAACACCAACTAACGTTAGCTGTCTATAATTTATAGATTACTATAGCATAGCACTTAGAACTTCGGGTTAAATAGACTAGGCTTCCAAGGCATTGGCTTTGCTTTTGCTTTTGGGCCATGGCATTGGAATTAAGCTAAGTAACGCTGAAGGGTTCGTTGTCGTATCAGGTACTACATATAATACCCGAGGTACATATATGTATACACAAAGTGTACCAGACTTGTACTACAGAAGTGTACCCTAACCCTAACCCTAACCCTAAACACAGGGTATACAGGTCTGGTATACATATACGTACCTCGGGTACATATATGTAGTACCTGATACGACAACGACCCTTTCAGCCTAAGTAACAGGTTCTTTTTAGGTGCATTGCCCACAACAAATCTTATTCCTTTCATTCCTAATAATCAGGTCATCGCAGTGGATTGCAAGTTATCAGCCGCCGGTGTAGCACTGAGAAAGAAAATGAAGCCGTACACTCTGAAGAGTATGATTAATTAATAATACAGACTTGCATATTTAATTAAGACATTGTCATTCCTATTGATTTTATTTTATTAATTCATAGTATAAATCTCAAATTAATCTGACTTAGAGAGTGATTGCTAACTCATCAATGTATAGTTAATGATAATTTAATCATTAACTTCAGGTTCTAATTTTTTAACCATTTTACAGTGAGAGTGAATTCTTCGAGAATGAAGATGATTTAAAGAAAAGCGTGCTCGATAAAGCGCTAGCTTTTGTTCCCACTCATGGCTGGTCCCAGAAGGCAATCAGCAAGGGTAAGCAGCAATTAAGATTCATATGAATATTAGATCGCTACAGGATTTCATATGTGGCATGTTCTTGCCCCTGTCATATACCAAAACATTAGGAACATTAACCCTTGACTGAATTTGAGATGATTTCCACCAATTAGCGAGTTTCCTATTACAGTAGCAGTGTTGTTTAACCTTTTCCCGACAAACCAGTCAGGAAACCATCTAACCACTAGATGGCGCAGCATGCCAAGTGCAAATGTCAGTGGGGACATCCCTCCTTGACGGGTGGGTCACTTGATGACACCAATGGTCCTTCACCACCCTGTGTGTTACACATGTCGATACGTCTGACCAATAGTGCTGAGAATTAAACTGAATCTAATAAAAATTAATGCTTATACTCATAAAATTGCTCAATAATTTGCCTTTTGTGCACCAAGTCTAATACAAGAATGCCAGTGTTAAGTGACACAACCTATGCCCATACCCTAACCCATACCCTAACATGCACAGACAGACCCTCCTCGCACACCCCGATGTGTAAGGACAATTTCATCACATGTTACTTGAAGTCTTACTAAGGTTAAGGTTAGGATTAAGGTTAAGATTAGGGTTATGGTTAGCATTAAGGTTAGGGTTAAGGTTAGTGTTAAGGTCAGTGATGAGTTCAGGGTTGAGACTAGAGTTGTGACGTGAGCGTGTGTTGCATACAGGTGCAGAGGAACTCGGCTACCCGGGCGTCGCCCACGGCATGTTCACGCGCGGCGGCGTCGACCTCGCCCTGCACTTCTGCGACGCGTGCAATCAGACGCTCGCCGCGCGGATGAAGACTGACGCCGACGCAGTGCTCGACGCCCCGGCGGCGAGGTGAGGCGCGCGTCCGGTAGTAACGCGACAATCGCAGAAACGAAGACCATAACCGATCGATCGATAATTATCAATTAATAACCGATCGATCGATAATTATCAATTAATAACCGATCGATTGTTGACGCAGTCCCACGTGGTTGCGTGGGTGCCGGGGCGGGTTTCCGAGTAAAGGTGCGCGTCCAGTAATAACGCAACGACCTGCCAAAACAAAGACGATAACAGAGATGCCAACCACTACGATTTATCTGTATTTTATACGAATTTCTATTCCTTTTGCACCACTACGACCAGTTTGTATCAAACTACGAATTTCACTATGATCGGGAATTTTTGTTTGTTTGTTAATTATTGTCAATTTATTGTCATTTTTGACCCTCAGAATGAAGGAAATTGCATCTCAAAATCAAAAGTTTTTCCGGGGGGGGGCATGCCAGACCCCCCTAGCAAACTCGGGTCACTATATGACCCTCGAACTACTAATTTGATGGCCAGAAACTACAGATTGCTTCAAATATGTGTTGGCATCTCTGCGATAACCGATGGCCGATCGTCATTGCAGTCCCACGTGTGGCGAGAGTCCCTCTCTGCGTCACAAAAATCGGCTTTATTTCCTTACGAGACAGTGGGTAATTGACTTGTGCAGTAGCGTGCGTGTGAAACCCGCCTCGGTGAACGAATCGAGGGTCGTCAAGAATCCCAGCTTGCTGTGTGGTCCTCCATGTTTTTCGGCGGTGCTTATTGCCCGTGGATTTGTCGAAAAACAGAACGTTATCGATCGGAAAATTATAACGATATAATGATGAGATATAATATAATGATGAGATAATTCTTCGTCTTCTGTCCGTTGGCAGTCAAAGATACGATGAAATGTAGGTTAATCGGTCGAATATATTTATATCCGTGTTGCGAATTTATTAATTTATGATGATGTTTTTTTTGATGATTTGAGAAATTAATTTTTGTGCTTATTTTTTGGGGCAGGAAGCCAGTGAGAAGTGTGATTGGTGATGCAGTGCAGTCCAGACTCACCATGATCCACCCGTACATCGAGCAGTGGCCACAGGTTTGTACACGTACTTCTCTCTTTTTTAACACTTTAGACAAAACGTTGATAATTACTGAAATGCAGAGCTCTCAAGTTCCAAGCATTTTAATGTATGATATTTGCTACGGTGTGAAAATTGGCGCCTCCAAGTGAAGCTTATTGTGTGTATTAGCTTTTTACGTGAATCTGCAGGCACTTCAACCCTCTAAATTTTTGAAAGGTCTTAATATCCTGCAATTTGGTGCATTCTAGGTGATTTTTTAAACCGGTGTGTGTGCGTGCGTGTGTCTTGCTCAATGTACGAGACTTGTTAAGTCTCTTGGTGGCAGCACTGTCATTCATATTTTGTCACGTGATATGCAATAAATATAAATTATACTACAAACGCCTAGAATTAATCCCAACAAAGTCTATTTCAGTTTCTAGCATTGATTGTAATTCCTTTTGAACGGTTGACTGATGACGGATGAACTTTTGTAGGCACTGGGTTTGCTAGTGATGCCGCAGCACGCACCGGAAAGTGTGGCCCTTCTTCAGAACCTTGTTGATGACATCTGGTTCTATGCTGGTGACAAGTCCATCGATGTAAGCGCATTTTTATTGCTTTAGAATCCCTCTCTACGTTACAATAATCAGCTTATATCTTTACCAGACAGCGGGTCTGTTCGTGACATGTGTAATAGCCGTGTGCACGTGTGATGTTACCAATCTGCCGGTTTTTTTTACGTATGTACCTAGTATATGTACCTACCTATGTACCTAGTATGTAGCTCGGTTATCTAGAGAAGTAGAGTGCAGGGCATGTTCATAGCAGTCATGAATGGGACCATGGGTGCTTCGCACAGATATATATTTGTAGTCGGGTCCTTGTACTGTTGCCCGTCATCTGCACATCCCCGTATAAATACGTTTAAAAAAAATGAAACGCTTCTAGCTTGGCAAGCATAGCACGTTGAAAACATCTCCAAAGAAGTAGGAACCACCTGGGCCCCTCCATGTACGTGAGCACATGTGTTTGTCTCTCCTTACTTCGTTACTACGTTACTACATGTAACGGTGGCTGTAGGTTGACTGGTACACCAAGAGACTGACTCTAGCGTCGGTGTACGTGAGCACATGTGTATGTTCCTCCTTACTACGTTACTACATGTAACGGTGGCTGTAGGTTGACTGGTACACCAAGAGACTGACTCTAGCGTCGGTGTACGTGAGCACGGAGCTGTACATGACCCAGGACCGGTCGCCCGGCTTTGCCGACACGTGGCAGTTCATGGAGTCGCGCATCGATAACCTCTCCACTGCAGGAGAAG